CCAGAGACGTGGGGAAGAAATTCCACGTTGTCGAGTCGGCCAGGAAGGTAGGGCGAAAGGGTGCGGCTGAGGGTTATCTAGCCTCGCCGGGATTTAATATGCCTGGAACGGGAGACCTTTTGATATAGGACAATGGGCGTCCCCCTTGTAGCATTGACGGGAGATGGCCAGTTTCTACTTGGAGCTGACGGTCTGCCATGCGCTACAAGTTTACACTACACCGGCATGGATAATTCAGTCCACGTTTCCACGCGTGGCAACAACTGTCCTCGGCCCTGGCCACGGCAGGCATAGCTGTATATAGTTACGACAGTCATACGATACACAAACAAAATCGCACGATTCTGATAAAATTCGCTCTCATTTTGATGGTAAAGATGCACTGCCTAAATGCGATATAAGAAACCACGTAGCTACCAGATTAAAACGTGCTAGTAGCCAATCTGCTTGCCGCATTCCTCGCATCAATCCGATCGTCATCATCCTCCTCATTCACACCCGCCAGCCCTGACACCCTCTGGCTCTCCCTCACATCGTCCTCCTCGCCCTCACCCTTTTCTGCAACTTTGCCCATGAAGCTACTCGATGTGCTGCGCGTGGCGTCGGATCGACGGGGCACGCCGCTCCATGCATCCCCCTTTGGCCCCTGGCTCGAAGCAAGGCTTGATCGGCGCACAGTAGGGTGCGACTCCCGACCAAGTCGGCTCAAGCCGCCTGATGCGTCAATGGACCGAATATCCGGACGCACAGTCTCCAAGAGCGCTAGGGTTCGTCTCTCTGCGTCAATTTCACGAAGGACATAGTCGCGAATGCTGGTTCGGAGATCCGCGGCCGTCCTGGCAAACCACCTTCGGCGTTCTTGGACAAGATTGTGCGTCACGCGGTTTGTCTTGTTGTACAGGTTGGCTTCGAATTGACGGGCGTCGTCAAGGGCGGTGATGGCTTCGTCAACCTTTTCACGGCGCACGCTAGAACTAGCTTTCAGGCGGTCCGCGGCGTTGAGTTTGCTCCTGGTGGCTTCTTGCGACTGGAGGAATTCTCGGATCAGGATTTGGCGGTTGGTGAGGGACTCCTTCACGATGAAGGCATCTTGGGAGTGGTACTGAAACGGGTCACCAATGGAAGCGGCTTGCGCGGTGGCCTGGGCGGCATGGTAGTCGCCCATGGTTTGGATGACGCGGCCGAGCTTTTTATAGGCGTTTGCGAGGCCAGGATGAGGCTCTTGGACGTGCATGCTGCTGAGCTTGACGCCGTAGTCGGATTCAGCGAGCCCGAGGCCTGCACCTGTTAGCATTCGGTGGCGATGTTGGAATGGTAAGAATTCCACGCACCTCTTCTGGCTTTGACCATTTTATCGACCTTATGACCGGCGTCCATGGTTCCGAGATAGAACAGCTTCACGGTCGGACGAGCGTCGGCTAGCTCGGGGGTATCATCAGGCGGAGGGGCAAACTGCTTCAAGATCTTTCTGCGGACTCCAGTGGCTGGCTGCTTCATCTTGACCAGCGGACTGTAGCCAAAGTCACTCTCGACAAAGAGCACCATCTCATCGTCTCGCATGAGAGTCTCATTGCTGCAGACATAATTAAACCATCGTTGTATCATTGCCTTTACTCGGTTCTCGTCTTCGTCTGTTCCCGCACCTGCTGCTGTTACTGGAGGCGGGACAGCAGGCACGAGAGCTTCGGGATTGGCCGATATGAGATGCTGTCCGAGCTTGACGAACTCGGAGTGAAGGCGTCTGACATCTCGATATTGCGTGGTTCGGAACGCCGGGAGGTTTGTCTAATCACAGTCAGCAAAAGGCACGCGACGCTAGGCCAAGCAGCGTTGCAGATGATACCCACATGAACATCGAACCGAAGCACAGGGTCCTTCTTGCCGGTTCGTTCAAGGCCTGTAACCTTAGCCTGGAGCTTGAACTGCGGCCTCTGCTGAGCTGGAGGTAGTTTCTGTGCCTGTTCTGCCTGTCGGTTGGAGCCGGATGCTCGTGGTTGGGATTCGCCGGCTTGCTGAGGGGCTTGTGAAGCATGGGGATGTGATTCACCCGCGGATTCAGCTGCAGAAGAGGTCAAGGTTGCAGACTGGTCGAGATCCCCGCCCTCAGTGCCTGATTCCGTGGTTGCAGTGCCCGGCCGCTGGAATCCGTCAGTATCGCCAGATGCTTCCAGGATTTCGGGTGGCGGGCTATAAGGGAATGGGGAGCTCCCGTTCTCGCCGGGAATTGGCGCAAAGCCAGTGCGCGAATGCTGCGGCGACGGCACAGGGCTGCTCCCCCAAGGAGAGGCAGCGGGGTCTTCAGATTCGTTAATTGAGGCACTGTAGTCCATTGCGCCGGGCTATTCGGTTCGATGTGGTGACAACGGTCTGAGCAGCTACGACGGGTGACGGCCAGGATGAATGAGGATGATGAGGATGGCAGTGGTTTACTGTAGAAGCATGACTCTGTAGTGGCAGCGGCAAGCGTTCAGAGTCGTCCGTGGCCTATTGCGGTTGCTGCAACGGAGGGTGTCTCGGCCAGCAAATGAAGCTTGGTAGTGACGCAAGTTGGCAGGCTGCGATGTCAACGGGTCAGGTCCCGACTTCAGAATTCCACATGGTCCCATCTACGCGGCACTCTCTCGGTGCTTTGAGCCTGATTGAGGTGGGCGGGGGCGGAGCTGCATGATTGGCTTGTTGGTCAGCAAAAGGCCCACTCTCCCTTGTCTAGACTCTACTCCCGTACTCCGTAGACATCAATTCATTGACGTCGACATGACATGGCTTGCCACCCGTTGACCTCTTCAATACCCCGTATTTCTCAATCACATCCTACATGGATTCTATACCGGACACTTTTTTGGATCATTAATGATCGCTCGCAAGCATACGACGATGCACAAATGGATACACCGACATGAACAACATGAAGCAGCATTTTTTGCGCTCCGTTGGGAGACTTCTATTCCCAACAGCCCGTTTCACTGTTCAACCGCACACTTCTTCAATCTCTGTACTAAATCCTTCAAATCTTCCCTAACAAGCTAGCTAGGCACAGTCAGTTTCATGATAAACAGATGCTTCCCTGACACCGCACGGCACCGTTTCCTGCGATTGATCTCCTCTCTCCTCCTCTCAAATGGCCTGATCGAACAATTGTATACCTCCACATTTTGTGAACAGTATCGCATAGCCCGTTCTGCACTGCTTGTTCTACGCGGAAGATGCTGCGAACGAGCCGCAAGAAGAAGTCATCCTGCCGATCACTGTACAGGCTTGTAGTAAATATTGGACGGTGTACGCTAGCACTCTTTTCCCTGAAAAACTTCGAGCATGTCTTTCCCGAGTCTCGCAAGCCAACCGCAGGCTCGGAGGCGTAGTTTTGTTCACGGCTCTCCTGTTGGGCATACTCCCGGATCATGGCAGTAGCCGCTATAGATTCTATATGCTTCGCTACCAAGTCCATTATTATTGTGCAAAAGGTTTCTGTAGCCTTTTAAGACGGTATCGAAGGCTTCTGAGCTGCATTGCTAAACGATGTGCAGTGAGCTTACGCTAACATCCTTGGGTCCGGTGTCCCAGATTCCTTTGTCTGCGTTGTCGAAAGTATATTCTTACGTCTTTGATGAAGCTCGCGGATGGATTCTGATGAATAGTCCATTTATTTTGGGTCGTCATCTCCTTACTCGAATATCACGATGGAATTTAAGTCCATTCAATGTCGACTCCAGAGTAACTACCGAGTGACGTAAAAGGTGGCGCATGCCCGATCGGGTTAGTGCGGGGCTGCACCTGGCAAAAATTCTAGCGTTGAAGACGATCATGATGGGTGGGCAAATGATCAATCCTTTGGCGGCACGAACGAGCTTTCTTATAATTCCTCCTCTCAAGGCCCATACTCACATCCGGCCATTCAACGGCTAAATTTTGTATCCTCAATACAAGCCATCTTCACACACAGTCACAATGGGCAAAAAGAGATCAAGAGAGGAGGGCAAAGACGCCCCGCCCGCCGACGCTGGCGTCGACAAAATGGATGAGGACGGCAGTGATGATGAGGTACACGACACAGGAGGGCACCATGGGAGATTGTTGATATGCTTACTTCTCCAACAGGACTTTGACATGGTCAATGTCGAATTCGAGTGGTTCAACTTTGACCCCGAAATCGACTTTCACGGCATCAAATCCCTTCTCCGCCAGCTCTTCGACGTAGACGCCAGCCTGTTCAACATGTCAGCTCTCGCCGACCTGGTTCTGTCTCAACCAACAATCGGCTCAACGATTAAAGTCGACGGCAAACAAACAGATGCGTATGCCATGCTCACCGCTCTCAACACCTACGTCCACCGCGACACGGAGCCCATGAAGGACATCCTGAAGTACCTAGTCGAGAAGGCGCAAACAAATGCCTCGTTAGCCGCGGTTCCCGAGCTCATCAATGCCGGTAAACACATTGGACTGGTGTTTTCCGAGCGCCTCATCAATATCCCGCCCGAGATTGGGCCCCCGCTCTACTCGATGCTCATTGATGAGGTAGAGGCCGCCGTAGAGGACAAGGAACCGTACGAGTTTTCGCACTACCTGGTTCTGTCCAAGACCTATCAGGAGGTTGAGTCGACGCTGGACGTGGAGAGCCCCAAAAAGAAAAAGGCCAAGGAGGAGTCGTCGACATTTTTTTTTCACCCCGAGGATGAGGTGCTGCACAAGCACGCGCTGGCGTATGGCAGCTACTCTTATACCAAGGAAAACGACTCGGTGGCCGACAGCAAACGAGCGTTCCAGGAGGCGGGCATCAAACCCGCCGGACACATGATTTTGATTGAAGCTAGCAAGTTCCCCGGCGCTGTCAAGGCCATCACCGACTACTTACAGCCACAGCAGTAGACATGAGCCACACGAATAAATAAAAAATGTTTTATAGCTTCAATGCCAGACATTTCAAGTGTCTATTTTTGTATCATGCCTCTCCCATAGCCTCGAATTCATTGTTTCCCCTCACCCTACTCTTTCGACCTGGTCTATTCTTCCCTCTCCAACCTCTGCATCAAGTACTCAACCTCAACCTCCTTCGTCAACGGAATCACAAAATCCTCGTACATGGCTACCACGGCGTCCACGTCAATCTTGACATGCTCGTCAGAGTCATCCGAGATGGATGGGTCCTTCCCATACGTCAACGCCTTCAGCCGCAACCTGGCGAGCACAGACTTCTCAACCGCCTTGTTCGTAATGCTCTCCTCGATGCCCAGTCGGTCATTCGCCAGAATCAGCTTCTTGTACTTTTCTGGGTCTGACCGGTACTTGGACTCGGCGACGAATTTGCCGAAATGGATCCTCCGCGACAGCGCCTGCAAACACGCAAAGTCTGACGTTGCGGCGGAGCCATAGTTCTCCTGCGACTCGCCACGGTCCTGGCGTCCGAAATCGGGGCACACGGCGGGCAGGAACTTCTCAATGTAGAACTTCTTGATCTTGTCATTGACGTTGACGTCGTTGGGGTGCAGAACCTTGGGGTAGTTGAGGGGCTTGAGGATCGGGGTCTGCACGGCGTCCGGGAAGAAGGGGTATTCGTCGGGGGATTCGTAGCGTCGGATGAGGGATTGGAGCTTCTCCTGTTCGAAGAAGTACCAGTCGAAGAAGGAGAGGTTGCTGTTGGGGATTTTGATGGCGCCGGGAGTGTAGATTGTCTGAAGGGAGGGGGGAGGAACGGGTCAGTTGTGGTGTTGCAGTGCGTCGACAGAAGACGGTGGCAGATATACCTTGTTCAAGGCGAATTGGACGCGCTCAATGAGGTGAAAGGTGATTGTATCTTCTAGGCGACTGCGAGGGTATTAACTAGGTGTCGCATTGACGGGCGATGTGAAAGAGCGCGCTTTGTACGTCGGGGACTGACATCAATTGGAAGCGAATTCGGGACAGATCCAATACCTTGGAGGCATCGTTCATGTCAACTGCGGAGTCCATGATTGGCAGCGAGGGTTCCAGAAGCAAGTTGCGATGCCACAACGGCAGCAGGGCGTTTGCTTTCTGGTAGGTGCAGAAGAGAGTTGCGGGCGATGTTGGAGGTGAAGGGGGTTAGCCTTGTCTGTATGCCGGCCATGTGGGATGGATGAGACAACTTTGGCCCCGAATCCGGCCCATCGGCGTGGCGTCAGCGAGGGGCAGCGACGTTGGGCGGTTAGGCACGCGCGGGGCACTTGGCCATATTCGGCTAAGCGCATTATGTGCCGTGTCATGGCTCCGGGGTTCCTTCACCGCATGGCAAGTCATGTAAGTCATGCGCTGCGACTCTCGCACCATCTTGTACAGTATTCCAAAAGCTTGGAATTACCACACATCATTCGGAAAAATAGGTATCAAGAGCTCCATATTACTAACGGGACTTGCATACCGACCACCATCACCTCTGTACCAAGTTGCAATTCACGACGGCCGGGCGTGTAAGAAGACCGTGCCTTGTGCAAGCTCCCTTTCACGTCTTGATGCAACCATGTACTCTGAAAGTAGATCAGAATACGCTTACATAGTAGCCCCGGAGTTTTAGGCTGGATGGAGAAAGTGCTTCACGGGTTCGTGCAGAGGGAGATATTTGGGTAGCAAATCAAACGATGATATCGTCACGACATTGGTTTGTAACATGGAGGAAAATAAAATTCAACTTGAAATGGCAAGAGATTGCATCTTCTCAACTTAAGATCTCTTTTTTTTCTCGGTTTTAAGATACCCCATGTACTTACTATCACCTAAACACTCCCAGGTTCTGCCTTGGACCATGCTACGGCGACTCTAACACGTCTCGCTTGCAGCGTCGCCATTATGCCATGTCTTCCATTCATGGAAACTAGGGATAAGTCTCAGCAACGCCACCCGGTTCCCTCTTTGCTTCTTGCCTCTGCTTCGAGCTTATGTAGTAAACCCCCTTCCTGACTTGAATCAACGGATCATTGCTCGACTTAATTCCCTGTACGCCCCCGCTTTCTGGCACAGGACTAAACGCGATTTTCTGCTGCTTATTCGCATTGTCCTCGGCAACCTTGTTGATCTCAATCTTGCCCACAGGGACCCATTTCGTGCTTTTGTACGGAATGGTAGCATCATGTAGGATGTCATCGGGACCTGCAATGTGGGCCTGAAGATTGAAGACGATGGGCTGTGTTGGAAACCTGTGCAGGAGATCATCTTCCAGGTAGTTGGGGTACTTGGGTGCACCGTTCTCGGGGAACAGATGTACTCCGTCTGCCGGGTCCAGACGGTATCGCACATTTACGCTATCACCGTTTGCATTGGTCAAAACGTGGGTGTTGGGTTGGTAATACGTAATGGTGCCGTAGTTGAAGGGGTTGGGCTTGGGAGAGGCGACGAATTTGAAGGCGGAGGGGTGTGTTCCCAACCACGTCTTGAATACCTTGTCTGCCTGTTCAAAATCCTCTTTTTCCTTGGAATAGCTACCGCCTCGTTTTATAGCATCGTCGAGGCGCTTCTTAGCAACGCCTACGGCAAAGAAGAGCTGAAGGAACGTCAAGAAGTCTTGGCCGTTGTTGGTGGCGAAGCCGTCGAAGGAATGGGTAATCAGATCAGTGTATGTCGATTCATCAATCAAGAAGCGAATAGCGACTCCCTTGGGGGTGGCTTGGTTATCCGCGTCGGGAATGTTGGGGATGCCGCCGCCAACGGAGAATCGAGCTATGATTGCGGTGGAAGGCTTGTTGAAGTGAGCGGCTGTAGAAAGGGATTTCGCCTCATTGGATGGTTTGAATGTTCCCTCTACGAGCAGACCTTTGGCGTGTGCTATTCAAGGTGAGCTTCATGCTAGAATGACGGATCCATGAGGGGAATCTACGGTTATGCCATGCTTACTTGTGCGGTAGCCGGGATGGTAGCCGAACATGGAGGTCATTTGGTCCACCAACTTCCGGGGGAGATCCTGTACGGGATCCCTTGGCGCGGTAGAAGCGCCATCATGAGCCGAGTCGGTAGCCATGGTGAGAAGGGATACCAAGCGAGGGAAAGATCTGGAACTGGAAAAAGAAGTGTGCGAGTGGTCGTTTGGAACTTGGCAAGTCCACTAGAGCCTTGATGGTGAAGCCAGACTTGTGTCTCAAGTCGATGCCGAAGCCTCACAAGAGATATTCATGACAGATGATAATTGGAATCACGTCCTGAGTCGAGGGAAAGATGCTCTCATAAGTTGTTAACCCAATCTTCGATCAGAACATTCGGGCAGCAATCCTGCCATCAAATCGAAAGGAGACTGCCTGACTTTAACGATCTGAGCGGTTACTGCCGCTTGGCAATCCTCCGAGGGTTGCATTTAGCTCTGTACTTGCCGAGTTGTCAGGCCGTCGGGCATGGCCTTTGCCGAGGAATATCACACCGCTGGTCAGAACATCGGGCAGCATTCTTACGTCGCTACCAACAAATGGGAGGGAGCTGACGTTTTGCTTTGACATAATTGGACCGGCTGGACTCTGGGAGAGCAGCGCCAGAGATGCAGCGAGGAAACTGAACCATGCATGTCAAATGCACCGTTGACACCAGACGGCTGACGTGATATTGGCAGTCAAGTCCGGTAGAGTTGTTATCAACGTCGGCGGTGGCTTGCATCGAGTATCGAGGGCAGCTGAGTCGGGACTCTCTCTTGCACCGTGTCGGCACCCGCCACTTCGAAGCAAGGTCTCGTTTATTGCCATGAGACTGCGATGCCTGGAAATATCGAGTCACGGCCTGCATGGATGCGGTCGCCGTTGTGGATGGAAACTCCGTAGGACATGCCGAAGACCCAAGACAGCATGCATGCCGTGAGTCTGCTCTGAAACAAATTGCGTGTTGTCCCAGCATTATCGGTGACGTCGGGGCTGAGCATGGAGCAGACTGCATCTTACATACATGTCGAGGTTTTTTTTTTTTTGTTGATGTTGCTCTGAACAACCTGGCAACCAGAGGCCAGTCATGAAAGCCGGACATCGCCAAGAGCAATACCATCAATGATGGCCTGTTGTATGTAATCTTGCATCCAGGCATATATCGACACCTGTGTGCAACATTGCCAAATATATAAACCAACGGCACAAGCAGCGATTTCCTCATCTTCGAACCCCCATAACACTGCATCTTTAGACGTTAAACTCTTTGGCTTGCCTCATCGCTTCCCATCACTTCTCTCTGCACCTACTTGACTACTGCCACTACCAATCTGCCTCCTCATCATGGCTGTTTTGTCAGGCATCACGGACAGACTGCATCAGATCCTCACCGGGCACAACACTCACGATGTAGACAAGGCCACGATGGAGGTCTGGGACAAGGGAGTCTTCTTGAATGAACTCCAAAGACAAGGTTTGGTGCTTGTCACGGACAAAGACGGGAACCTGAACGGAAACCTCGCGGCCACCAAGTGCCTTAGACGTGGAACCTACAAGGGCACTCGCTTGGCCTTGACCGAGTTTTACAACCTGATTCAGGAGGCGTATGTTGACCTGAGCCGCTCCATGGACACGCTTCCGCTGTGATTTGCTGACCAACTCTTCAGTCTGTCTTCTCAGTTTGACACCAAGTGTTATGAACCCATCATCCCCCAGCGCCGAACGCTGGAAGAAAAGAAAGTCATTTATCAATGGAGCAAGACGGCTGATGACGGATATCCTCCTCATCTATATGTTCCCAATGGGGAACAGGTGACGGTCACAGACGATGATGGCCCAGTCTTTGACCAAACCGAGCTCAATCGTGTCGGCGCCATCTCACGGGCCGTTTCTTTTCTTGTCCCTGAAGAAATTGACCCCCAGGATACGCCGTTTTATGGACCTACTCTTGCTGATGTTGAGGCGTACAATCGCGAGCATCCGAGCCCCAGTACCGACATCATGGACGGCAAGAACATTGGCTTTCTGCCTGATTGGTTTTCGGATGCTCGCTTTGTTCAGCAACATTTCAGCGGCGTCAATCCTACCACCATTGCTACCGCTCCCGCTGCAAAAGTCCAGGAATACGTGGCTCAAGCGAAGAAGCAGGGCCTCGCCGACATGGTAGAGCTGCTGGAGGCGGGCAAAGACTTGCTCATCCAGGACTACTCCTACTTCCGCAAGGCAACCGGTCTCGGTGACAACGAGCCTTTTGTGAACGTCATCTACGACCTCACCGAAGACTACAAGCCCACCGGGAAGACAGCGAACCGATATGGCTGCGCCTCGGTCATCATCTTCCAACTTCACAACGATGGTCGCCTCCACCCCTTGGCCATCACCATCGACTACAAGGGCAGCCTCGACAACTCTGTCACCATCTTCAACAACCGCCTGCACCCCGATGCCTGGGGGGTCGTCGCCGAGTCGCAGGACTGGCCTTGGAGATTCGCCAAGACTTGCGCGCAGGCGTCTGACTGGGCACGGCATGAGATTGCCGTGCACTTGGTCGACACGCACTTGGTCGAGGAGACCATCATCGTCGCCACGAACCGGACCATTCCCTAGGACCATCTCTTGTACGAGCTCCTCAGCCCGCACTGGTTCAGAACATTGTCACTGAACAAGTCTGCCCGCGACACGCTCGTGCCCTTTGTCATTGCCAGAATCGCGGGCTTCGGACCGGACTCAGACCCCAGCAAGCACGACACCAACCGTTGCTTCAAGTTCATCCAACACGCTTACAAGAACTTCAACTTTGTCGACAAGTACATCCCCAACGACCTGAAGAAGCGTGGCTTCGACATGGAGGGCGGAGCAAAGTCCTGCAAATATCGCAATTACCCATACGCAACCGACATGTTTTTCCTCTGGCACATCATTCGCGACTTCGTCAAGGCTGTCCTGGGGACAACGTACAAGTGCAGCGCCGACATCGAGAATGACCCGTACATCGCCGATTGGTGCCTGGAGATTCAGACAAAGGGCGAGCTTACCAGTTTCCCAACCATTACAACCGTGGATGAGCTCATTGATGCCGTCACCATGTGCATCCACATTGCCTCCCCCCAGCACACGGCAGTCAACTACCTCCAGGACTACTATTACAGCTTCGTCCCCTCCAAGCCGCCCGCCCTCTGCACGCCTCTTCCCACCTCTCTCGCCCAGCTCCAGTCCTACACGGAAAAGGAACTGACCGAAGCTCTTCCAATCGGCACCGAGTTACCCAAGTGGAAAGACTGGCTGCTCGCCGCGCAGTTGCCCGAGCTTCTCAGCTTCAAAGTAGACCATAAGTATAATCTGTTGACGTATGCAAAGTCCCTGTATAATGTGAACAAGAGTAGGACGGAGAAGGAGAACGAGAGGGCCGAGCACAAGGTGATGAAGGAGGCGGCCGCGAGGTTTTATAGTCAGCTGAAGGATTGCGATTTTGTGTTCAAGCTCGTCTCTGAGTTTCAGACGCCCGGGACCATTGAGTACAAGGTTTTGCAGCCCGAGTTCGCGGCTGTTTCGATTTTGATCTAAGTAGAGCTACTTGAGACACCGCTGAGGTTAACTCCGTACCTAGGTAGTTGATTTTTTCTTTTGTAGTCTTGGAGGAGGAGCTGTTGCCTCCTAAGGCTTGATGAGCTTGATGACCGGCTGGTGGTGATGCAGACTGTACTTGACGTGCCAAGTAGCTTGAAAAAAAATATATAGAAATAGACTGCCTTGCTCGACCAGCTCGTTCAATCAACAACCACGATTCTAAACATACGGTCCACTAGTTGAAAGGAGGAGACGGTCAGCTATTTCCCGGCTTTCGCATGCGTCATTCCAGTCATAATTTAGATATTTCGAGAGCATTTGAGATGACGTGAGGATCGAAACGCCACGTTGCGTAGGGTCGCGAGCACCTCCAAGAAATGGTGAAACGGAAAGATGCTGGCCACACATCTGGACATGGTTGGAGATGGCTGCATGTGCGCAGGTTGCATCGGCGGGGTGGCGTGGCGGCTCTGACCAATGACTGCTTAGATACAGGGTAAGCGGCCAGCCTCCCAGCGTCGTCTTTCCTGGGGCTTGGTGCCTGAAGGATGCTGGAAAGCTCCCAGCTGCGCGTCTCCATGTCACGAACTGGCCCACCAGACATGTACACGTACCAAAGTACCAGACTTTACACATGCACGCCGTCCTTCGTCCCTGTCGCAATTTGCTGCTTCAACACAACAGCCGGCATTAAAATCCACACGACCAGCTTTGCATCGCCCACCCATGCGGCCATTGCGCTGTTAGATCTCTTTATTTTGTCTCGCCAGACCCTCGGTCGGCCGTCGAGCCATGGCTGATCAAGACAGCCACTACGATTTCCTTGAAGATGTCGATGACGAGCAGTCCATTATCTCGGTACGTCCAAGCTTGATCCGGCCCCAGCCTCACCCATGCAGGTCACATCTGTAGTCCAGGTGTGAAACGGTCCAATTGAATGTTTGAGCCCTCGCCGTCGAGATGTTTGGCGCTCCCCAGGAAGCAGCGCAAACCACCTGCCGCTTCGCCGTGGTCGTGTGACGGCCGAATCTTGCACCTCGCAGCTCCGCGCACACAACGTCCCCAACCCGGCCGTCCAGCCGGCTCAGTGTTCCATTGCTTCCGCTTCTACACTCATCCTATGCAAGTTCTGCTAACATGGTGGTCGATGTTGTGCAGACTCGCGGCTTGGAGGCATTCGGGCGCAAAGTCACCACCACGGCCTCCCATCTCATGGCCCCTAATGCCGAGGCCACCGCGCACCATTACCAAACGGCCATGAAGCAGGTCCACAAGCAGTTGGCTCGTCCCTCCGTACAACAGAGCGTCTTTGCCATGGCCAGAAGGACGCCCACAGAGATCGTGCGCTCCAGGCTCTCTACCGCCGAGATTCAGCATCGCGCCGTCAGCTTCCTTCCCGACGACTTGCTATCCAACATCCCCGAAGATGACAATGCCTACTCGCTGTTTCAAGGCTTCAAGGCCAGCTTCCCTGAGATGACAGACGAGGGCAAGAAACACCGTCGCCGCGTGTCTAGGGGCAGAAAGTTGCTGGATGACAGGGAACGAACCGGGTCCCCCGGACCTGTCGCGAGTTTGTCGTATGTACAAAAGGAAAAGGCTGCCATGATGCATGAATTTGAGCTTCTTGGCATTCGGAAGAGCATGGCCAGTAGTGAGATTCGTGAGATAGACAACAAAATCGCAAACTTGCAAGGCATGCGCAAGATTATTTTGGAGCGACTTGCGGGTTTGGAGCAAGAAGAGGCACTTCTCGAGCATGACAGTGCGTGTGGCCTCTGTCCCCACCCCTCCTGTCACTAACACATGAAACGCTTATATGTCTTGAAATGCTAATACTCGTTTTTTTTTTCTGGCAGTAATTGATGTTGAAGGACGGTTAGAAATAGCTCAAGCTTTAGCAGACGAAGCCGAGGTCATTGCACGAAACACCCCGACCAAAGACGAAGTCGACCTTGTTGGCGACGCCGATGATCACGATCCCGAATTCATGTCACAATCCGTATATGACAAGCTGCCTGGCTCAACAAACAGTACACCAAGGAGACCAAAGAAGGTTCACCGTCGCAAGTCCATGCCTATCCTGCACGAGCATTTCGAGGCCGGATCCAATATACGGCAGCTTCGCGCGCACAAAGACACTGTAACCGCCCTGGACTTTGATGCGCCATTTGGCACCATGGTGACTGCTGCTCTCGATGATACCGTCAAAGTTTGGGACTTGAATGCTGGACGGTGTATAGGAATATTGAACGGACACACTGCTTCTGTCAGGACATTGCAGGTTGAGGACAACATTCTCGCCACTGGCTCTGCCGATGCCACTGTTCGTTTGTGGGATTTGAGTCGGTCCAGTTATGATCCCCATGGAAACAGCTACGGCAAGGATGAGGACGAGGACGAGGATGCCATTGCGTTCGAAAACCCCAACGACCAGCCTATTGATCCTCCCGAGGACAGCATGAACGATTGTGAGCTATACACCCTGCAGGCCCATGTAGACGAGGTCACAGCATTGCACTTTAGAGGCGACGTTCTTGTCTCTGGTTCCGCAGACAAAACAATTCGGCATTGGGATCTCGAAAAGGGTCGCTGTGTGCAGACGCTGGACGTCATGTGGGCGGCAGCTCAAGCATCCGCCACTGCCAACATGGACGGAGGCTGGAGACCTACCGGCCGCGCGTCAAGCAGCTCGGCCGACTTTGTGGGAGCATTGCAGGTCTTTGAATCAGCACTAGCATGTGGAACGGCCGATGGCATGGTACGGTTGTGGGATCTGCGAAGCGGCCAAGTTCACCGCAGCCTTGTAGGACACACTGGTGCCGTGACATGTCTTCAATTTGATGACGTGCACCTTGTAACTGGCAGCTTGGACAGAAGTGTCAGGGTAAGTGGCCAAGACCACGTGCGCTTCGATATCATGTTTGCTTACAGCCTTTCAGATATGGGATCTCCGTACAGGCGCCATCTTCGACGCCTACGCATACGACAACCCCATCACAAGCATGATGTTCGATACTAGGAGAATAGTGAGCGCTGCGGGAGAAGACGTGGTCAAGGTGTACGATAAAGTTGAAGGCAGACAGTGGGACTGCGGCGCAGGCATCACCGAGGAGGGCAAGAATCCCGGCGTCGTAGAGCATGTGCGTGTAAGAGATGGTTATCTGGTCGAAGGCCGGAGGGACGGCATTATAGGTGTTTGGACATGTTAGGCAATCAAAAGTATTTGGCTCATCAAGAGGTTGGGTGAGTGAGGCGTACGTACGAAACGGCCATTGTAAGTTCTTCGGCGCAGGGTAGGTATCGTTTAGCACACAAGCCTGAGGATGTGAAACAGAGACATTTAGACCTCCCGTACTCCGTAGAATTTATGGGTTTTGTGATAAATATCATGAGTATCGTATATGGTGCATTGATTGATATTCATTTTGCCCGTAAAACTTGATATACCACTTAGATTCGACGGCGTAAACATGGCTCTTACTTTTGTGCAATCTTGGAATTGTAAATCTTTACGGACAAGGTTAATGCCGGTACTGTTCGTGTTTGCAGACTCGCCACCTGCCATTTTCATTCTCTTTCAACTAGTAGTTATTTTCCTGGTCGCGGATTGAAGCGTGGTAAAAGGAACAACTCAACAGACGAGGGACAGCGTTCGAATGCGGGTTTCTCGTCACGTTTCTTTCGTCCCACAGCAAAACATGAGTGAGATTACTGGCATATCTTTCGCTTTTGTAGCTTAATCAAGGGCTTGTACCAATACAGATTGACCAGAACTCTTTGTTCATCTGTGCTAAGGAGTCTACTGTCGTATGATGGTGGCCAAATCTTATTGCTACCTGAAACCGTGCCTCTAAAACAGTGGCAAACAAAGATCAGCCTGAGAAATCCGCCGGTAAAATGTTTGCAAGTATTGCTAGGCTGGATAAAGCTCGCTCTCCACGTTGTTCAAAAAATTAATGTTCGCTTAATCGAGACCAAGTTCACCAACGCCGTTGGTTTCTTCTCTCATCATTCCCAGGACAGCACTCTAATCAGCTGTGAAACAGTCATTTGTTAAACCGTCAAATGATCCTCTAAGGCAGAGCTACAAAGACTTGTTAAAAGAAGCCAATGGGCTTCACCGGCAGTGTGCGATTCTCGACCATAAGTACGAGATTGCGGGTATCAGCATAGCAATAGATTGGGAGGACGTCTGGACAACATTGACGTATCGTCTACCAAAGCAGATCGGTCCTCATCTTCAAACGGCCGTCGAAAAGGAGAAGTCTACCTAACCTTCTCAAGCCGGCTCGTTCTTGCAAGCTTTGGGCTGGGATCATCACACTTGTTAAAGGATAATTGAGAAGTAGATGATGACAAGAGTTATCATAACATTATAGTAACCAAAATCTTTTGTCATTACATACAGGTATAAACTTTACAGAAAATAAGGGGATACAGCTATTCATTTATCGTCCCCCAGAGGCACTACCCTGGCCCTGCCAAGAGCTGCTCACGCAAAAACGACAGCTCAGGAACACGAGCAATGATGAAATTGTTGCATGTTGGAATTCGGGGCGTTTTGTTTATCTGATGTGGTGCTGGTCAACTCCCGTAGGCAGCTCGACAAAGATCTGCGCCCTTTCACGCCTCTCAAAAGCATGGTGGAGCTCCGCCTTCACCCCAATCTCGCACCAACGTGCCTCGAGGCAAAACGCCAAAATGAACCACCACTGCCCTTCAATAAATCATGGCCCCCCGCGACGAAGTACTATCGTGGTACCGCGCCGCCACCGAAACGCTCATCAGCACCCCTGCCAAAGATGACCCGGATCCAGAAAGCGCCGCCGTGAACGTGCTGCTCCAGCGCCAAGCCAAGGCTCTCCTCATCATACACGACGCCCTCAGGGATCCCTCGCCTCACCAAGTCGACGAGCCCCTTCTCACAAGAAGGCTAAGTGACGTCGTGTCAATATCCACATCCAAGTTCTACGCCTACCGGTTCGATTTGCTGCCTTACCAATGGCGCCAGATGCACACGGACGCCCTCATCCTGTCCACCTTTCACGACATACTCTGCTCCCTGGGCCAGAACGCCTGGCTGGGCGAGGAGGCGCTGGACGGCGTCGTGGAAAAGCTGGACAGGGCCGTCATCACGGCCGGGGGCGCCGGCGTCCTGGGGACAGCGTGGATAGAAAAGACGCTCCAGCTGCTGGAGCGTCTTTGCGACGCCTCACCCAGCGAACCGCCCGCGAAACGGGCAAGGCGCGCGGATTCGCACTTTTCCCCCGGCGAGCCCTACAGCCGGCCCCTGTTGTCTGCGGAACGGACCTGTCCCGCCCGCAGTGGCTGGTCCCTCGACAAGTTTGACAAGTACATGAACGGGGACACGTCTCCGCGGCCCGTCGTCTTCACCGACCTTGTCGCCACCTGGCCCGCGCTGACGAACCGTCCCTGGAAATCACCTGCTTACCTCCTCTCGCGGACTTTTGGCGGACGGCGCCTCGTGCCTGTAGAAGTCGGCCGGAGCTACGTCGACTCCGACTGGGGACAGGAACTCGTGCCCTTTGGGGCTTTCTTGTCGAGGTATATTTCTTCCGAGGGCGGAGAGGAGGTAGGGTATCTGGCGCAGCACGATTTATTCAGCCAGATCCCTTCGCTGAGAAGCGATATTTCTACCCCGGATTTTTGCTGGTCCCCTGTGCCCATGCACCCTACTGATCCGGCCAAGAACAAGACGCCGCTGGATGTGCCGCTGGTGAATGCCTGGTTTGGGCCCGCCCGAACCATCACGCCTCTTCACACGGACGCGTATCACAATCTACTGGTACAGGTTGTGGGGACAAAGTACGTGAGGCTGTATCCGCCGTGGAGCAAGGTGATGAGGCCGAGAGGAGACGAGGACGGCGTCGACATGAGCAATACTAGCTCGCTGGATGTAGGCGTCCTCGAGGGCTGGGATGAGGATGCGCAGGGAATGACCGAGGAAGAGAGGGAAACGGCCAAGAGTGAGCTGGGGAGCCAAGAGTACTGGGAGTGCGTCCTGGGGGAGGGGGATACGTTGCTGATTCCGATGGGGTGGTGGCACTACGTGAGAAGTTTGAGTGTGAGTTTCAGCGTGAGCTTTTGGTGGAATTAGCACGGGCACACACTACGGTCACAAGGCAACCATGATGATCAAACATTGCAGTATGCAAGAAGAAAATGAAGGAAATTGCTATACGTCTTCGCCTTCGCCCGACTTTCCCTCCCTTCTCGCCTTCGCGCCGGCTTTTAATACCTCCCACTTCTCCCTGTACTTGTCCAGTGTCTTCTGCATCTTCCGATTGTCCTTTTCCAGACGCTCCATCTGTTTCATCGCGGCGGCTAGTTGTTCTTCCATGTCGAGTGTCTTCTTCCGCAGCGCTTCATCCCCCGCTACATTCGCGGCATGTGGCGAGGCGCTTGGTGAACCGGGTCTCAGTATGCGGTACGATTCGGCAAGGGCCATTGCCGAATTCTGAGAACTTGCTTCGAATGCGTGCAGACGCTTCGATACAACATCTAGTGTATCCTTTAGGGATTTATTCTGCAGACCAAGTTCCTCAATCGTGTTTCGGAGGTCCTTTTCTGTCTTGTGTGCCAGGCCCATTCTGCGCCTGGCGCCGGGGGAGACGGGGACGGGTGTTTCCCGAGCATCCACAAAGTCGTCGTCTTCGTCTTCTGGGTGGGAGTGGTCTGGGTCGTTGCTGTGCAGTGAGGCGCCAAGACGACGCTTCTCTTTTTCAGCATACGTCAAGATGTTGGCGTAGGACATGGTATGGCCGGTGGTGGGCACGACGTAGAAGGAATCGTTGGTGGAGTGGCCCTCACGCGCAAGAGCGCGCATGGTAGCCTTGGAGTAGATTTTTGACAGGTCTGGTTCCAGAGTGAGCGAGGTTGGCGGTTGGCGCGAAGCCTTGCGTTTGGGGGGAGATGATTCAACGGGCTGCTCCACGGTTGACTGTTCTGGTGTGGGCTCCTCCTGGATCAGGGGGAGACCGGCGAAAGCGAGGGGAGCAGAGATCTTGTTGATAAGGCTCCCAAAGGTATTGTAGAATCGGGCGTAGCCAGCATCTTCGTTCACCATGGCAGAAGCAGCTGTTTGGTCGACTCGGGGCGACGAGGCGGCACTCTTGTTGGTCCGAGGCTCCATCTTGGGAGGAGCCATGGGCGGAACCCAAGTAGGCTTGCCGGGCTGCGTGTCGATAATGCTCTGCATCTTGGTCCTCGATCCGTCGCGGCGAGGGTGCGGGTCGACATTTCCGGGAGCCTGGTCGTTGGAAACACTTGGGCTGAGCGGCTGTCCTCGATACTTGGATCGGATACCCCTTGCAGAAGCCAAGTTGCTCGCAATCGAGGACGACATTTCGCGAGCCGCGAAGCCCTTTTGCGTCAGACTGGGCATCTTCTTGCCGGACTGGTGCGTCGTGGAAGCGCCCTTTTCGTCGAGCGACGTCTTCTCGTTGACATCCTCCTCGCTGGTCTGGGAGACGGGGTCTGGCTGCAAGTTGAGGAGTTCGGCAAGGCGTCGATGGTGTTCCTCGAGAAGCTTCAGAGTGCGAAGCGCTTCAACGCTGGTGGTGTTTCGGGCGGCATTGGCAAATTCACCAGCCGCGAGGGTGTGTTCGTTGATGGCGACGGTTGTGTCAGCAGACTGGCGGGTTGCAACGGCGGGTGGGGGGGGGGG